TGGTTGTCTATGAGAGGGGACCACTATTGGTGACTATATTTCACACCACCACCACCACCACCACCTTCTTCACCACCACCACCACCACCACGACCACCATGAACAACAGCAACAACGACCACCACAACAACAACAACAACAACAACGACGACGACCAACAACGACGACCAGCTGGTGTTTTCACTGTAAGGGCCCTAAGGGCACAGTGCTGGCGCAAATTAATAGTCTTTGGCGGTCCAGCACCAGTTGGCCTGGTACAAGGTTACATGCCAAATTGTAACGGCATGGTAGGAGCGATACACTACATGATAGAGATATAAGTTTGTACCACCTGCCTCGTCTTCTTCGCTGAGGTTCTCCCAGCGCGTCATGGCCAAAAATGAAGCTCTGTATACTTTCGTCTATGTGTTCGTACAGTGCGGTGTTCTTTGTTTGTTTAATTGTGTGACACGAGTACGTGCTTTCAAATCCAGCGGTGTAACGGCATGGTAGGAGCGATACACTACATGATAGATAACTTTGTGCCACCTGCCTCGTCTTCTTCGCTGAGGGTCTCCCAGCGCGTCATGGCCAAAAACGAAGCTCTGTATGCTTTCGGCTATGTGTTCGTACAGTGCGCGGTTATGATGGTGTCACCGGGTACCTTGTGTTTTTGCGGCAGTGGGTTTACGCAAACTGACATGTTTTTACAGCGAATGGCTTTGACGGCTTTGCGGTGTTCATTGTCTGTTTAATTGTGTGACACGAGTACGTGCTTTCAAGTCCAGCGGTGGGCAATGGTAGCCAGAAATTCAAACGAAAGCTGACAAACAAACACGTGAAAGGGCACACCAACACAGGAGCCGGGCAGGGAACACATTGTCCAGGACTGAAAACACCCAAACCTGGGAACCAAAAACACCAACACAGGAGCACTGGGCAAGGAAAACACCAATCCAGGAACTGAAAACACCAAGATCTGGGAACCAGAAACACCACGGGAACCGAAAAAACCAATCTGGGAAAAGGAAACACCACGGGAAGGGAAAACACCAATCTGGGAACTGAAAACACCCAACCCCATTCGTGACGCCCTTCGGGCCCAGGTGCGCTCGCCAAAGCTGGTAGCGATAGTCCTGCAGTTGGACCCCAGAACATAGGAACCGGTTCCCCCGCAGTCATGCAGTCATGGCGGTGTCGGAATGCCCCGGTGGAGGTCCGCCACTGGAGCTTTTGGAGCGAGGAGCCAAGGCAGAAGAAAATCCTTCGGCATCAATGTTCCCCGATCGGTCGGGTTTCAAGTATGATTTCAGCCGTGATTTCAACAAGACTAGGAGTACTTATACGTGTTTTGCTATGCGGCCACCCAACAGCACCATTTGGCAGAACTTGCTTGATGGGGACAAGGCGTCGATACCCCTATTTACACCACAAGTTGTTTGATGAGCGCAATCTCAGAGTAGCAAGCGAAGGTAAAAATAGCATGCTCTCCCCAAAGCCAGCTATAAACATGTCTGTTCCATGTGCTCTCTACACCTCCTTTTCCTGAGGAGTCTAATTCAACATTCCCATCTCTCACGCCTCCCTCTCTCACCAACCAGAACCCCCCCGCCCAACCCCCGCCGCTCCTCGCAGCCGGAGCCTTCACTCTGCACGTTCGTCAGAGCCAAGTCCGTCTGTCCGGGGAAGAAGGTCTCCAAACCGGCGAGGCTCTGACCCGAGGTCGCCGCCAGCCTCGGATCGGGTCTCCCACCGGTGGATGATAGGATACAAACACACCGGAACACACGTTTGTGTGGGACTTCTTGCGGAGAAGTGGAACAAGTCCCGGACACCCATGCAAAACCCCCCAATTACCACACTCCCCCCCAACTGTATCCGCCCCCCATTTCATCGCCAAGTGGCACGATGTAGGAGACAAAGATCAACAGTGACCTTGGAGCGTCCACGCTCTAAAGGACTCTCCCACAGTTAAAAACCACTCAGGGGCGATGTAGGTCCTGTGGAGGTCCGTATACCGAGTCGGCCCCAGCGTGGCCCAGCGGCCTTTTCGTCGCGTGAACTCCTGTCCAACACCTGCGTCACAGTCCGGTTCTCCGTCAACCGGCTACGCCCTGTGTTCGTTTCAACCTCTTCGCGCCGGCCGAGGCGGTGTTTGACGGGTCTGCCAAGGCACTGAAGTAGAGTAAAGGTTGGGAAGGACTGCATCACAAAGAACTCGGTGTCCTCACATCAAGAGACCCCATGTCTTCACGTGAGGTGCAACACCCCACTGTCTTCCGATGCGGGAGTGAGGTGCATAAACCCCTTTGCGGGTGTGACCCCGGTCCAGCCATTTCCTTCCACTTCCTCACTCTTTGATCACTGGAGGCGTTGCATCTTGAACGCAGAAAGCGAGACAAAGCCGAAGCCAACACCGTCCGCGGCTTCGGCATGCAGGCGACATCGGCCCTTCAGCGTTCGCGGGACGCAGGGAGCGTTTGCGCAGGTCGGGACCGAGAACCGGCCGTGCGGGATCCTGGTGGTTGTAGTGAGAGTCAATCATCTCCTGCAAGCTCTCGTGGTCCTCCTCTGGCACCTGGCGAAGCGTAACTCGCCCACGTCGCAGAGTCAGTCCTGAAGAGGTCCAGTTGGACTGACACCGGATGACCCGTCGGACCGGTCAGTGGCCGTTGTTACGACTTCACCACCCAGACAGTGCACGGTCCCAGACAGTAGACGACTCAAGTTTCACCACGTCCTTAGGTCAATTGGCCCATGGTTGGAGACATATTGGTCTACCAGGACCTTCGAAGTCTGGTGGTTTTTGGACACCTCGACTCATCTCTAAGAGGCGACACCTCGACTGGTGTCGGTCGATCAGCTCGGCATCTCGGTCGCGTTCGATCCCCCGATCCCACCGACGGGTGGACCGCCACCGAGCTTCCAGCCCCTGGAAGTACGCGGCACCCACGACGAGCGGAGCCTTTCTCTTGGGTCGCTTGATGGGAGGGCCTCCCCAGCCCATGCCTTGCAGCCTGCGTGTCGCACTTGGCGAAGGTCTATGTGCTCAAGCAGAATTCAGACTTCCTTGCTCTTCGAACCCAATGTTCCAGCACCACCCCCCACTGCGGGGTCTACAAACTACCCTAACAACCCGAACTGGGTGCTGCTGGTTTCAGAACGTCTCTGCTCAAGGAATCCAATCCTTCGCCCTCACAGACCCCTCAGTTGCAGACTCTCTTCCGCTCGCATAGTCCGCCACCCTCAGCACATCACTTTCCAACACTTTCACAACACTTTCAGCCTTTTGGGATGGCTTTTGCTGCTCTACATGCCTTTACATGTATATAACGAGTGTGGTTTTTGCATGGTCTTTGCTGCTCAGGCTCGTGATTTGCCATTGCCCCTTACCCTACCCCTCAAAACACCCGAACATCCAAACCGAGCCGCCACACACCGACCCCACCGACCACGTCTGACTGAACCACACCTGGGCCTCCCCAACTGCGTCCGGCTCACCGGCGGCTCGCCGCCGCGCGGAGGTCCTGGCCGGCCGCCGCTGGGGTCTTGGACCTCGGCCGAGTCGGTTGGGGCCAGGCCCGATGGGATGGGAAAGGGCCAGGCCGGATGGGATGGGAAAGGCTGTTGGGATGGGAAAGCTTGAAAAAGAGGTGGCGGCGTGGCACGAAATCAAGCTTTTGGCGTTTGGAAAAGGACTGAGGTCTGGAAGATGACAGGCCGAAAGGAGCTACTCGCCGTAGTTTTGCGCCCTCGAGAGATACACAATCTGAGTCTTTCTATTCCTTCTGCCTTTCTGGCCTGGGAATGACTTCCAGCATGGGCTTGGCGCAATCGGGAAGTGTTCCCTTTGTTGGCTTGCCGGTAGGATGTCCATCTGACGCTGCACTCGTTCAGCGAAAGAACACATGGTCTCCCTGAGCGATCCCAGACCGGTCTCATCGGCTTCTGACTCATGGCCTTTTTTCTTGGATTCTTAACCACTACACCTGGATGATCCTGGATGATATGTTACCCCTGTCTTGTGGCCTTTCTCAACCAAATAAAGTCTGTTAGTGCAAGACCTGATGGGCTAAACTGCCAACCAAGTGGCCACCTGAAACTTGGCCTTCCGTGCCTCGCCGGCCCGGCTCAAGGCCTTCCCCAGCACGGTCGCCTCCGCGGCCTGGCCAGCGGAAGAGAGCCCCAGGATGGTGTTGGGAGGGTTTCCTTTGGAAGAGTCTTCAAGGCATTCTCTTCTTCTCCAGTCCGGATGTTCGGCGTTGTCTGGCGTTGTCTGGCGTGGTCTGGGTTTTGCGGTGGCCTACATCCATGACTAGAGATAGAGTTGACCACGAGTGTGAGGCGGGTCGAACGATCTTCCAACGACCCATCGCCGCTCACGGGATCGAATCCGCCAAAGAGGACGAGCAAAGTGCCATTCGCCACAAAATCACATCTTGACGAGAATCCTGTTCTACGTCTTTCTCATGGACATCATCTCCCAACGTCCCATCGGTTCACATCTCCCAAAAGCTGATCTATTCAATCTCTGGGCACCTCTCTCAATCTCTAACTTCCTACCGTCCTCACCGCGTTTCGCCTGCGCCCCGCGCACAGTTGCGCGTTGCCGCACCCGCACCTGCACCGAGGAGAGCGGCTTCACGGACACCAACTCCTCCTCACTTCGGTGGTGCAAACGCAGCGCCCCAAACCAGTCGCTGAAGAAATCCGCCAAGCCTTCCTTTGAGGCCTGGCCGAGTGAAAACGCGGATCCGCGGATCGATCCAAAAAGGAAGACGTCGGCCGGCAGCGGAACCCGCTGGGAAGTGGGGTTGTTGAGCATTCTGCCACTTCAAGGGGGATGGTCACACATGGCATCTCAACTTCTCAACATTCTGGACCAATCGATGAAAAAGCATGTCCAGCCTATCAAGAATGAGGCGTCTCAAACAGGATACGACCAAAAGAAAAATCAATGCACGTTGGTCAGAATCTCCAGGCTCATCCAGCAAAATATGATGGTTCTCTCCTAGTTATAAAGAGCTTTTGTGGCACGTCCAAAGACAAAAGGACATTGAGTCTATCCCTTGCGTTCATATGTGTGTCTATGTTCCACATCCCTCCCATGACTCACCAGCCTGCTTCCACTCCGCGAGCCGGCTCCTCTCAACCTCAACTCATGAGACTTGGTGCCAAGGAGGCCCAGTTGGTGCCGAGTCGGAGTCTCCGGTGGGAGGGGAGACCCCATCGGAGTCCGACGGACTAGCTGCGAACACAGCCAGCGGTGCAGTTTTGCTCAAGAACAACGGAGAGTGACCTGCAAATCAAACGAACATTCCGTTAACCAAATAACCAAATCAGTCTTCCTCCCAACAGATTCTAGGGAGACGACTGAGACTCCCTGGTTGGTACCCATACCCCTCACAACGAGACGAAACCAATGGAAACCCTCCGAAAACTCAGGTGTCCATCCTGTCATTTTCGGCCGGCCCATTGGATCTCCAGGAATCTCCTAGACTTGGAATCACCAAAGATACTGCCAAGTCACTGGTGCCTCGTGTGTGGCCTCCCCAGCCTCCATGGCCAGAGGTCCATTGGCGTGTGGACCCTGATCTTCTCTCCTCGCGGTGCACGTGGAGGAGTCACGCATCACGCATATCGCGCACCCGAGGTTCACATGTTCATCTGGATTGAGTCTGGCAAAGAGACACATACACTCTCCTGGGGTCGCGGATGGGCGTTTGTTATATAAGTTACATAAATGGAGTGCCTGCCTCTTGTGGCACCTCTGGCTGTTGATTCTCAGGATGGATCTTCTGGGGGTGGTGTTGGCTTTGGACCCATCAACTCCTCCTATGTCCCTGGAAGAAGGCTCCGACGATCCTTGCACCCTGTGGCACTACCTGATTTCACCGAGCATTCCATGTTTGATCGCACGCTTCACAACTGGCCATGTTGGGACGTGGGGGTGCCCAGCCGGTGGCTACAAACTCTATGATCCTTCTTGCCCGGCACTATCCCTTTAAAGCAGTATCGAAGCTATGAATCGCTTCAAAGCATGCCAGTGATGCGATGGATCTCTTGGCATCACTCGCATCATCCAAAAAGTAGGCTCAGCCAACGTCTAGTCAATCAACCAGTACATCTGTTTCAAATAGTATTGAGCTGTAACATCCTATAACGAATTTCGCACAATGCTTGGACACACAGGACATGTTCTGTCCTTAAGCGATCTAGTCAGGACTGATCAAGCGTTGCTGAAAAAGAACAACATGGACCCAGGTGGAAACGAAGACAAGCTAAGCCATGTGTATATCCGGGGCAAAGCTATTGCAACCTTGATCCCATCTGATTCATCTCAAGGATAAACCTCTGGCTTCAATCGATTGTCCCACTCCACCTTGGCCCCCAGCTTTGTCCTCACCGTCGCAGTGGGCGGAGCTCCCCAGTTCGACGTCATGGATCATCGGGCGTGGCTCGCGTGGCTCGGAGCGCAGTGGCTCGTGGCTCGAGTCAGGCTGAAACTTGCTTGGCTGTGAAGAGTTGCACGGGCCAGGGGATGACACAAAGAAGAGACTGAGAAAAAACAGAAAAGACAAGGACTGCGCTTCATAACGATATGGCTGGTTTCAGCCTTCAAGGTGCACCTTGTATACTCGATTCTATAATTTATGAATCCATGAAGAAACTAGAGATTTCATGAAATATTTGAAGCCGCAAGCCCCAATGAACAGGAACATCATTCCACCAGCTGGTAAGACTGTACTTCATGCGGTCACAGTACACATTTGGTGTCGTGCATCGTCAGAAAGCTTGGAGTAGCCAGGAATATCCGATCTTCTTGTTGTTAAGACGGTCTGACAGTATGATGAGCCAAACAATCCACGCGGAAAAGCCTCGCTGCATCACGGAACCTGAAAAGGCTCGGAGCAGGTCCAGAGCAAAAGATGTGTGTCACACCCAGCCGGGCTCTCCAGCAACCACCGCAACCAGCAACCAACCCAAGTTCTCAAGAGGCTTCCGAGGAACCCAAAGCTGCGCACAAACTTCACGACTGGACTACCATAGTCAACCAAAGCTCCAAACTCTAACCACCGGAAGTGCAGGCACCCTTTTCCACAGCTTTGCCCATCTGCGAAGCTGGGTGAGGACCTGTGTGGTCCTCGCTGAGACCAAAGAATCCCCACGAACAGCTAGTTGAATGTTGATGAAACATCTTCGCTTGGCAAGTTTGGTAAGTTCGGTACCCCATTTTTTGAGCCATGCCCATCTCATCCTTCCTAAAAACATCAGGTCTTGCATCTTTTAGTGGCTTATTTGGCGTCGAAATCGCTGAAATTGCCCACAGTGGCCCTTCCCCACGGTCACGGCTGGGCCAACCCCCGCGCAACGGCGCCGCTGGGCCCGACTGGCTCGGCCCGCGCACTGAGCCCCGCAACTGGCCGGGCAGTGCGGCGGAGTCGGCAGTCACTTGGGGGTTCCCCATGAACAGCCTGCACCCAGTGAAGCAGTTTGGTTCAAGGACCAGCAGTAATGGGTGCTCTGAGGCCAGGGATGCCTACCCGCTGGCAGCCAGCAGCACAGTTTTGGAGTGTTGGATATTGACCGGCATCACCAGCATTGAACAATTCGCCCAAGAGACAATAATGTGTTCGAGGGAATGAACACCTAGCGGAAGGTCATAAATCGAAGTCTAATCTTTAGGCCAAATCCCATCACAGACCACCAAAGTCCACCCTGGAGGCACAAACATGTTCAGTAAAAAGTGGAATGCAGTGGGCATGCGGTTTCCGAAGATCCGATGGACAGGCAAGAATACAAAAAAAACACAAGGGTGCTCCTTTTTGGTTAGTGTATTCGAGTGTTGGTGAATTGAGTTCAAGCATTCAATGGGACCAGGCCATTCGAAGCTGCTGCACTTAGACTTTGCAGAATTACTGCTAACTCGATGTCAGCGCTGAGCAAACACCTTGATGAGCTCGAAAGCGCAAACAAAGGCTCGTTGAAGCACATGGAGAGTGAGATCCAAACCAGGTTCATGGATTCATTAGACAAATAAACTACCCCAGAAATCTTGCAAGGCGTTCTGTGTCCCAAACTCCAAATGTGGCACCAAATCTAAAGAAAACTACTGCCTTTTGCTTGCATTCTCGTTGGTCCTCCTTGGCTTGTTGCCAGGAAGCTGTTCACAAAACTTCTTGTCAATCACAGGTCAAATGAATCAATCACGGAAGAACTATGTCTAGAATCTAGTACAGTACACAATGTCAATCCAGTCGTGGATGAAGAAGAGAGAACCGACCAACGAGTGATTCAGGCGTCTTGCAGCTTTGACATCCTTCGGTTCCAAGACACCTCACTAGTTGAAATGTCACTTTGCGATCCCCCTTACGCCTGTTTCTCTTGCCCTCCGTTCACAAGTTGGTTTCTGGAACCCCTTTATTTGGTTTCACAGTCATCTCCTCGCCTGTATCATACACCGGCTATCCTTGGCGGGCTCACCAAACACTTGCAGCTCGGAAGAAGCTGTTCTTCAGGCCGTGAGCTTGGCCAAAAACGAGAAAAAAGGAGCTTCCTCCAAGTCAAAACATGCTCCTGTGAATCTTTAGACTGGCCTCTCGGTCTCAGTTTCTTTGTTTTCTTACTTCTCTTGTACTTTTGGTTTTTTGATGTTTTTGCTTCACAACACACAGCGACCTTTGACCTGCGAAATGGCCCTACATGCCGAGCTTTCACGCGCACGTGGCGCTCACGCGCGCGCGTTGCGGCACGTGGAGGTTTTCGTGGCGACTACAAGAAGTAGTCGGGCACCAATTTTCTGGAGGGCACACCCCGCGCGTCTGCTGGGGCAGCCTTGGTGTGGTGACTTGACTGCATGGACGGCATTGACAGCATCTGACAGCATCTCTAAAAGCTTGTTGTGTTGAACTCCTGTGAAGAAAAGGCTTTCGAACTCACTTGCAGCACATGTGTTTCACGCCCATTGCTGATGACAATCACGCCTCGGCTGGAGCTTCTGGAACCCAAAAACCTGATCGACCAAGCCCAAGCCAAAAGTGACCAAACCTGGGAGGTCCCAACTTCGAAGATTCGGAAAGAGTGCTTCAGATTCTCGTCAAACTCGAGGATCGCCGCAACATTGCCACACCTCGGGTCGCCACACGTTGGTCGGGTCGGGTCGGGTCGGGTTGGTCGGTTGGGTTGGTCGGTTATGCACCGTCGCACGAGGTCTCACATGAGACCGTGGTTTTGGATGATTTCCCGGAGTTGAAGACTTTGACTCCCTTGGAACCAAGCAGGACATGGAGTCACATGTGAAGTTGAAATCAGTCTCAAAATTGAAAGTACCCGTGGGGTACTGAATAGGTTTGAAGAAGGGACTTGGAGGTGGACCCTTCATAATGCCATAGCTGCGCACACTGAGGTCCACGCCTATAACAGTAGTTGGGCGCAGACCACACAGTCACGAGGGCCTGTTTCTGCAGCTCCGTCTTGGAATGCTCAAAGACTTGGGGAAGTTTATTCAACCAGCTGTTGGAAAGTACATGCAAATCCTCCAAAGAGGCCCCCTCTATGGCACGACACGCCCATCACATGTTGATCATGTCCGCAACCAAAGTAAAATGACAGGCCCTTCTGACCATGGTGTTCAGTGTGATTTCCCAACGTTGGGTAGAACATCGAAGCGCTTCGGAACTTTGCACGAAAACCGTCCACATGGGCGAACATCGAGGCGATCCGGGACCATCCGGGACCTCGTTAAACATCCATTTGTAGCCGTCCATCACCAGCTGATGCGCCCGCCCTATGAGGTCAATGCCGTTGGTGTGGTTGAACCTGACGTGCAGACGTGTCGAGTCGGAGTCATTAGGAGTTTGAACCAAAGACGAGGTTTGAGCCTTGCCAACTGCTAGTAGGATGGGAGTGTATTGGTCGGACCGAACCCTGCGGGGCCCGTCCCGCCCGAGCAGTTCCACCGCACACCCCGGCGGGTGCCACGCGGTGTGGGCGGCGAGGCACCCCTTGACCACGTCGCCACCGAAGAGGTAGCCGGCACCCCTGGGAGAAAGACCCCAACCTTCGAGGTCCTGGGCCGTGGCGTTCTTCCCCCCCTTTCGGACCCGGAGTCACACAAGACCGGACCGAGACGGAGGACGAGAAGCTGAAGCGGAAAGTCTCCGAACTCCAGTCCGTACGACACTGTAGACTATACTCAGTCACTGGGCAATCGGAAAAATCGGACAAATCGGCACTATGGTTTCATTCCATTCCCGGAATCGGCGATTTCAAGCAGATCAAAGTCTTCTTCCACTTGTTCACCAGGTCACCAGGTCCCATCCGATCACTCAGCTCGGCATGGGTGAAGGCATCAGTGGCCCATATCGGTGCAGGAGGTGGGCGGAATTTCTGCTTGGATGGCCTCTATTTTGGACCACCATGTTGCAACCACCCAAAATGTAATCTTTTGCCATCAAACTAAAGGTCAAATGGGTTCTACCTCCCATATACCCATCATTTGCATCTATTCAATCGATTCTGAACAAAACCATTTCACCTCTGCCCATCCCATCCTCTTCTTGCATTCCTTTTCTTCCAGCCCCATCTGCCCCCCCCCCAACCCATTCATCGCGCAGAACCGACCCGACCGACGGCCCGTCCTCGGGGTCGGACCACATCAGGTCGCACATCGCGCCTTCGTGTGGCACCTGGACCCCACCGAGACGAGAGACGTCTTCACCGAGGTCTTCACACCGGTCTTCGGTCGTCGGTGGAAGGTCGACGGCAACGGGAAGTAAGGAGTAGGGGCGGGTATCTATCTCACACATCCGACAAAAGCGAACGCAAGACGCCAAAGCTCCTGGCCTCTTGCTTTCTATCGATGCTCCGGACATCGTCAAGGGTATTAATGGCAGGTGAAAGCCCGCCATGAACGCAGAAAATGCGATCCTGGCGGGTGGAAGTCGGAACTAATCAAGCTCAAGCAGTGCCAGCACCAAGTCAGTGCGTTCGTCTGTGCCCTTCAGAAGTTCACATCAGAAACCATAAGAAACCCCTGGAAGCACCTCTATCAGTGCAGCCAAGGCAAGGTAGTCAAAGACCTCTGTGCAATATCGCCACCTCAGTAAGTTGCGTGGCCACAGCACCACCCAAGCTGCACAAACGAAATAGGAAAAAATGAAAAGCAGAAAAGACTGACACCACCATCACCACCGACCAACAAGAGACAAAACATCCTGTCTTCGCGAGTTCGCGGCCGTCTTTGCAGCCTGAGGCACACATTAACGCTGCCATATTTTCTCAAACATTCATCGTAGAAGCCATAGACCTGAACATGGAGACAACGTCGTGTCCAGCACCGATCAACCACCGTTTCACGGGTTCATAGTGGGAAGAGACGGATCTGGGGTGGGGTGGAGGATGGTGGAGGTGAGGCGACCGGAGAGGATGTGAGGATGTGAGGTCTGTGGGTTCCCTTTCTTCGAGGGACGTGGAGGGATTTTAGGATTGTTGACATGGATCCAACCCAGGAAGACTCACTGCAAAAGGAAGTCTATAAAACAGTCGGAATGTCTCATATCTGTTCTTTTTGTCACTAACTTATATAAGTGATGCTTTTGGTATTTCATCTCCTGGAGAGAGCCGCATGCAGTCGGAGGGTGGAAGGAAGAGAGGAAGAATGTTGAAGGTCGAAGGACCCTGGTCGAACTGGACATGGCTGTGGAACGTGGGTGTTCGTTTCGGATCTGGGGCTCTTGGAGAAAGTGGATTTTAAAGTGTTTCTGGCTCGCAGCCCAAAAGCTTCCTGGCATGGAAAAATGACCAACCACAAGCTTGTCACTCCAAAGCTCATCACCTTGGGTTTCCCAGCTGTAGACTCCACAACACCTTGCAAAACCAAGAACCCTCCCCCCAAAAATCTCTGCAGTCCAGTGAGCTCGTTTCGGCTCCTGTCTCCTCTCGCCCCACGCTTCGACTCAACACCTCGCCCCCGCGGCCTGCGTGATCTGTCGGCTCTCGTGGTTCCCGCGAATGAGGGTTATTCGATCCGGGTAGCGGACCTGCCCGAACCGGAAGCTCCCGGCGGCGCACACTGGTGCGTGCGCTTGTGGGGAGCTGCGTGGTTCGGTGCGGATCGGTGCGGGGACATCATGTAGACCCTAAGACCCTTCCATTTGGCTTGTAAAACCTCCTTCCACCACTTGCGCACACAACACATCCAGAGGTGTGTACGGTGTCGGCATGTGTCGGCTGCGTTCCACAGCACGACAAACGGCTTGAAAAACCTTGTCACATGGGGTCTTTGATTGATCAAGAGTCTGCTCGGTACTGAGGCGAGCTTCCCCAATTCTCCTGTGCATGTTGACCCACAGCCGCAGGTCGGCCCAACTCTTCTTGCAACGCTCAGCCCTCATGAATTTGCTATGTGCCTTTCTTCAAGGATCTGGAAATGCCAGAGAACCCTAAAGCTTGACTGTGTTGATAGTGTGCTGATCAATACGAGTCAAAGACGTGGTTGGACATTCGTTTGTAGAAAGCAAATGGTTGAAGGTGTTTCTTGTTGGAACAAAAAGTGCTTTCCAGCCCTCAACAATCAGCTTTGACTCCTGCCTTGAGGGCCAACAGCAGCAGAAAGGTCTCTACCTTGGTGCCAAGGGTGATGACTCCACCAACCACAGGAGAAGCCTCCACCCCCCCACAGCCGGTGGCCATGGCAACTGGGACACCTGACGCTGTAAAAGCCTCGGTCGACGAAGTCACCCATGAAGAGGTAGTTGGTGTCTGGACAATCACCACCTACCTGCGAGCATCTTCAGCATCAGCTTGCGATGCCAATTCTGTCGCAAGTCGTCGGGACAATCGCCTCACGTCCGTCCGGGATGATAAAGATAGATGTGGAGTTTGTATGGTTATATCATCGTATTTCCAAAGAAGCAAAAGGAGCCTCCGCATGGCACTCTCCTCTTCTCCCATTGGAACTGGATGCCATTTAAAGAGAATCTGTCACAGCGCCCGGCGCACCTTAAAGAGCTCCACTAAGTCGTAGAACTGCCCATGAATGTCTCCGCAGATCTGGGTGCGCCAAATTTTCACAGAACGCCAAACCGATCGATAGGGCATCCCTTTTGTCGAACGACAGGGCCTTTCAGGGTAGCAGGATAGAACGGTTTCCCGACTGTTTCCAGAAGACGCGGAATTGCTGCGCGAAACCCAGTCCAACTGGTCAGCCCAGAAACACCTTCACTACAGTCACTACAGCTACAGCTTATGGTGAGTTGGAGTGTGTTCAACAATGTCGGTAGATTCATTTGGGAATTAGGTATATTATATTTGCGGCGCCCAACGAGATCCTGAACATCCCAACCTCAGGAAAAGACCAACCACCAAGCCAGTTTGTGTTGACCATTTGAACTTCAGCAATTCAAAAGGTCTTCTAGAAGTGGATGGCTTTATTTGGGTGTCAATGGTGTACTGTGTACCTAATTCCTCTCCTGCCGCCAATCCAAAAGACTCCAAAGGCCGCATTGAGAAACGTTGCAGTTGTCACGGCGCTGGGAAACCCCACCGTGACGGGGGCATCAACCCTCTGCACGTTACATTCCTCCACCAGGATCTCACGTGCTTTGGAGCACAAGGCCTCCAAAGTGAAGAGTTTGAAACAATTCGCAGCGTTGAGAAGAAATTTCCCTACAAAAAGAAAGAGAGAGAGAGAGAGAGGAAAACAATATGTGTGAGTGCAAACGCATTCCTAAAAGTTAAAAGTTTTGTCAACCAGCCTTGACTTCAGCCTCTTTGATGTATTCACACCTCAGCAAACTCAACACCATCTGCATTTCAACCGCCACCGCCCGCCCAAATGCACAAAGTGGGCTTCACCACTCAACAAAAGGTACCATACAAACGATCAGCTCTCCAATCCCCACAAGATTAAAAGCTCACCCGCTCGCCTTCTCAGCTGTTCGATTTGTCTGTCTAAATCCGACACTCCCATGGCCCCCCTACACACGACCTTTGTGCTTGAAGTGGACTGCGGACATGAAATTTGAGGTTGGCACCACCTGTGGTTTGCAAGTTGTCTATATACGTGCCCGTTGATGGTCGACTGCCTTTGTCGCAAAACTTGACGACGCATCCCTTTGCGCAGGTGCCCTACTTGATGTGCGCTCAGTTTTGCTGATTTTGTTGGTTTAGATTCAAAGCGCTCAGATGATCCAGAACAACAGAAGAACGGTCAAAGTTGACATTTAAAGTGACAAGGAAAGCTGCGTCACTACAAGTACAAACAAAAATAGACCCTCAAATCACAGCATCGACGCTGCAGAGGGTCCTTTTCAGCTTGGTCCAAGCCCAACACAAGTTCTTATTCAAGTACTGTACAACCGGAAAAAAACAAAACCTGGAATTTCAACATTTCTCCTGTTGCAAAGAGTTTGACCTCTGTCACAAGCTAACCAAACAGAGTAAAAAGTTCCCTCTTCCGCAACGCTGAGTACAAGTGACGGTACCTCCTTCCACAGAGAGTCCCAAGTCCAGTCCGAAGTCATTGCAGAGGCTCTGCAATCCCAACCCGACTGAGCCGTCTTTCACAAGAGCACAGTTGCAGTTGCAAGGGCGATGTTGACTGCACATTGCTGCAGGGCACCATGGGCTCAGAAGTGAGGTGGAAATCATCACTTTCTGCATTGACCCAACCTGAAGTAGCTGTCGCCTCACCAATGACGGTCCCGAAGAACTTAATGGGCTCCTTAGTCTTATGCAAGACCGTCAACACCTGTGTTTCTTCTCCATTGCATTCTGGGATCTCTCCTTCTGGATCTTCAAGTGCGAAGTATCGACAGCAATGTTCAACAAGCTCCCATCAGCTTTGCGAATGAGTGTTGACCGCAAAGGCCACCAATGAATGCTCCACATCAACTGGGTATTCTCAAAGCACCTACTGGAGTAGTTGAACTTGAACGGATTGCCTTCAGGTCCAGTTCCAAGCTCTCAAGCCGTAACTTTCCCAAAAGAAGTCATGGAGCTTCATCCCAGTTTGAACAATGAGCACATCATCGTCATCTCGGTTTCTCACCGCTGGAAGTCCACCTTGTTGCTCATCTGGCACCTGTTGTACACGATTGATCGTGCCGAACAAGGCTAGGGAGTTCTTGCGAGAATGGAGAGGGATCATGCACTGGGCATCAGGGGCTTGCAATTGAACACCAGTCTCTGTGTCGCCAGGACAGAGACGCCAGCCTTTCTGCAAAAGTCTGCCCATGCTCACCAGTGGTGCTTGGACTGATGCCACAATGAAGTCATCCTCTATAATGACAGAGCCCTCAGCTGATTCACATTCGATCTGAGCCAGTTTTCTTCCATACGTGGCCAAGTGGGAACCTTGTGCATCTTCGAGCACTGTTTTTTACCTGCGAGGTTCCTCTGTCAGCCATAGTACGAGGCAAGAGGCTGATGTCATCAGCCCCAGAATCCAGCACGGTCAACATCTTCTCCTCATTAGTTCTGACCATGTTCACATGGAAAACTGTTGGCTTTTCTGCGTCATGTTCCTCCATCACATATCGTCTTGTGGGCAAACCAGAGTACCAGGGAAAGCTTCTATCTGCAAAACACTCGTTCGTTTGCTCTTCGTATGACTCACCATGCAATGCAAAAGACACAACATTGACCTTGTAGTTGTCGTCATAGATCCAACTGTCGCCTCCTTCACTTTGTAGGTCGCAAAGCACTGGGTTTGAGGTCTCTTCTCGAGGAGTGGCCACATGGTAAAGTGGAACCTGCCGGACTTGTTTGCTAGTGGTGATTGAGGCTGTAGAAGAACTGCCAATGCCACGAAGCTTACCACCTCTTTCAGATGCACCTGTAGTGCTCCCTGTAGGCATTGACTGCGTCACAGCATCGGCTTCGTTCGGGCACTCATTTCCCAATGACCTTGTTGTCCACAGATTCGGCAAGTGTTGGCGTTATTGCCACCTTTGCCCTTGCTTGTACCATGGAACTTTCCTTTTCCTTTCTTTCCTTTCTTGCCTCCTTTGCCTTTCTTGCCACCTTTGCGCTTCTGGTATTTGCCACCAGTCTTTCCACCACCACTGTAGGGAAAAGGGATCCAGCCGCCCTTCTTGCCTTTACCTTTCCTTCCTCCTTTGCACTTGCCCTTGCCAACCTGGTTCACGTTGTCAATCTCGATGGGCGCAGGTCCATTGGCGTTGGAGTCAAGGGTGTTCTGGACAAGCTTGAGGTACGTGTCACCTGACCAGACTCTTGACTTCTTGTCCATCAAGATCAACTTCTCCTTCAATGCGCTGTAGTCCACCGAGTCGTCCAGGATGAGTTCCAAGTGTTTGCAAACATTGGGTTCCACGCCACGAAGGACCGTGGAGACCACCAGGGCATAGCGTGGCCTGAAGCCACCCTGTACTGGTCCAGGAGCAAGTCCAACTGAAGCAAGTTCTCCATCATGCTCTTGCCAGCTTTGAGCTGTGGCATTCCCATGATGGCCTGGCCAATGGCCATCGTCTCGAGGAAGGTAAGGGTTGCGAAGTTGTTGCCATACTCTAAATCCAGTGCGGTCTGTTGAAGCCGCCTCCACAAACTGGGCTGCCGGTCCTCTCACATAGGATGCCAAACTGGCATAGAGCCCATGGCCAAGCTCAACAACCTCCTCAGATGCAAACTCTGCCAAAGCGCAAGGCTCGTCCAACACGTCGGCTTGTTTCAAAAGATCCACATATCTATGATCTCCGTAGGTCAGCCAATTCTTGAAATTGCCAGACCAGCTGGCAAATTTGAGCGGGTCACCCGCTTCAAATGCCTCAGGTGATCTCAGAACCTTGCTAGCCTCGCTGAAGCTGCCCTTGTTGTCCTTTCGATCAAGTTTCTCTGCCACCATAGCCGAAGACCTTGCTGTCGTCATCGTTGCCTCTGTCAACTGCAAGAGGTGATTGAACATTCTCTGAACTTGTTCACTGTCCATGGCTTGGCCTGAAGTCCACAAGGACAAAAAGATCAAACGTCTCATCCTCATTCTGCCCCTGGGCTCATAATGTCTCTTCACCAAGGTCCTCAATCTTGTCTGGGGTCTTCGCATCATCTCAGCTCCTAACAGTCCTAACATCAAGAAGAGGCTCAGGAACATGTAGACCTCCCAACCACCAAAGTTCTCCACCATTGCATTCAAGATCATTGAATAGCGCTCGAGGTCGAAGACCAAACCACCGATGACATTCTCAGCCATCTTGACATTCCTTAGGAAGTAGCCAGTGACCGACCGTGGACTTGTTCTGCATGAAGCTCTCACGGCCCCTCTCCATGTGGTCCAAGCCCCAAGACCGTCTCTGTGTTGAAGTCCTCGACGCACAATCAGTCGGAGGGCCAATCTTCGATTCGAGAAGCCAAGCTTCTCTCAACAGGTTCAGCATTCAGCTGACCGCCAGTCCAAAGACCTTCAACAGCAAGAATCCTGTTCATCTCAAAGTCCATCATGCTGCTATGGGCAAAGTCAAAGCCATCGCTCACAGGGCACCAATCCCTGCCACCATTCTTGTCCTCCGCCATGTCCTGCTCGTCCATCATGTACTTGAAAGGGGAAGTCCGCCAGTGTCCCCTCCCCGTCCAAGATGTCGTACATGGGCTCAACACCATCGCTTAGCATCATCAGAAAGAAGACCATGGCCATCAGGCATGGGACCCAGCGAGGTGGAGCGGCTGGAGCCGAGACTCCGCTCGGTTCCGCTATTTTTCCAAGAGCGAACCTTGGGCCACTGCGGGCCAGTGAAAATCTTCATGCGGACATGTATGGGATGCAAATGTTTGACAGAAGCAATCTAAAACCAAAATGGCACACAGAACATGTAAGATCACTAAACATTACGTGAAGGATCACTAAAAACGTTCTAGAGATGCTTACAATGTTTTTCAATCTCGAAGCAGCTCTCCACAGCGCACAGTTTTTTTGCATGCGTGCGGCTGCCAGTAATCGCAAAGAATGCGAAGGTCAGCTGTTGTAGAGTTAAAGGTTTCCTGGGGCCAAACACCAAAAAGCAACCCAACCCAAACAACAAAACCAAAAACACAACAAAAACCAAAACGCCACCGACAACGGTCCCAGGAAATCTTGTATCTCTTGGAGGTAAATTTTCTCCTTGCACTGTGATGATTTCAGTGTGAAACAACCTGGGCGTGGATGATGCCAAGAACATCAGCCTGCAGCTTGGGATGAGTCGAAGATTGACAGGCGCCAACCCAGTCATGGCGTTGCTTGCAGATAGCAAGGTTGTGTGCCTGCAACAGGTCGGGGGCTGCACGCAATGCCGTCCCTGAGGGAAAGCTGTTTGCTTGAAATGTTTTGCGCGACAAAAGAATTTCATGCTCCGTGGTGCTACTCGTGCCCAGTACTGAGGTCAGAATGAGCCATGGTAGCGACCTCGTTTGTGGCTGTGGCAGGTGGATCTCTACGAATCGCCTGGGTGGTCACCCTTAGTGCCATTGTGGCAGGAAGTGGATGCCTGAACAAGCAAATTCTAGTAAACGACCATCCAAACCACGACCACGCCAGTCTGACAAGGCTTGGGGTTGGAATCCATGGCACCAAACAGAACATGGAGATAACCACTTTGGCTCGTGGAATGGCGTGAGCACTATCATGGGTGGCTAGGTCAAAGGCTGTTTCAGCAGTGTTGGCTTCCGCTTCTTCTCTTCCCACTGGGCGTGCGAAGTGATGTGTATGTGCCTCATCCAGGGAGAAAGAGGTGATGGCCCTACTAGCTGGGTTCTCCTTGTGTACCACTCCAATTTTGAGGTTCGTGGTGATAGCTAACCAAGCAAGTAAGAAGGTCAGCGACCGGGTCTTGCCTGCACCAAACACCCCTGCAACCGCAATGGTTGATCGGCCTGTGAGTAGGGCCAAAGTCCACCCTACCGCAAGGGATAGGATGTGTCCATTGTTAGTCCTGCTGCTATGCAAAGATCTCTCCCAAAGCATGAGGTTTGGGGACA